ACTCCTGCACCGTTCCCTGTGAGGCCATGTACTCCAGTCGGTCGAGGATCCTGGCCGTGAGATCAGGCCCAAAATCCCGCTGCCCGAGGTAGATCGGGTTATCATCGTCATAGCGCAAACCGATGTCCAGCTCAAGACCTGGCGCGGTGGGCTGAATCTCTCCGTTGCGCCGTAGATCGAACATGAACGGGTACTCGCACACCGCCTCCATCAACGATCTGAACCCCGCGGTGCCCAACGCTGTCTCTACTCCATGCTCCCGCAGAGCTACCCGGGTGTCTGCAATCCGCTGGGCGAGGTACGCTTCGTCGTACTGCGCCTTGCGGTCGCTGACTTCCGTGTCAGCGCCAAACACTGTGGCTCGCCGGCCGCATGCGGGTGGCCCGCTGTCCTTTCCGATGACCGCCATTTGCAGGTCTTCCACGCTGCTCTGCCCGGATCCCACGAACGCCACCGGCGAGCGACCGGTATGGTTCGGGAACCAAACCATGGCATCCGCACCTTCTGCGGCAGCGGCTCCTCGAATCCATGCTCCTTGCACCCGGTCAAGCTCGCTGCGCCCGAGCACGACGTCCGTGACGAGCTCATGGTCCACCACCACGGCACTCGACCCGATCGACCATAGCTCGCCTTCTGTATCAACAAAGCCTAGATGAACTCCCAGTTCGCCCAGCACTACCAATGGGCGGCCTCCCGCACCACGTAGTCGGACTGAGGGTGGCGATCGCGACTGCTTCCCCACGGCCTCGCGCACCCTGTGACGTGCGCAACCCAGCAGCAACGCGGCCAGCGACGCACCGATCACAGTGCGGGCCGCGCCACTATCAACGAGGGCCACGCTTGGCCAACCGCTGCCCACCAGCTCACGCTCCATACGTGAGCGTGGGTCCGGTGCATCTAGTTCGGTGCTCCGGCTCTCTGCTCGAGCCACCAGGACTCGAACCCGACCCGACGACACCTGCTCCTGCGGCCGACGCCCGTCCACAGCCAGCACGTCCGCTGGCACTAGGTCCTCCCCCGCCCGCGGCGTGGGATCCTGGACGTCCTCCTGCCATGGAAACCATGCAGCCACCAGCGCCGTTCGACTCCACGGCCTGTTTGCCTTGTCTCCGGGGAGCGACGAGCCGTCG